CACCCTCACTGGGGGCTCTCCAGGCCAGGCCCAGGGTGTCTCCCAGCCCCAGATGGCAAAATGGGTGCTGAATCCAGTTGAAACCCCTTTCCTGCGGTGTGTCGGCGTAGAAGATGGAAATCCAGCTTCTCTTCTTTTGAGTTGAGGGTGCAAATACGTCGGGTAACGAACACAGAGCCCGTAGGTAGCAACTAGCACCTCTTGGGGCTTCAGATCAACAATTTGCCTCGCAGCCGGCAGAAAACCCACACCCAGAGCCTGACTGGGGGTAACTGGGTCCGGACAGCCTTGCCAAAAAAAACCAGGTGAGAAGAAAGCAGTGAGCCAGGGGCCTGCTGAATGCTGGCAGGAGAGAGGGGGGATGTTATCCAGAGGGGTGGTCTGGGGATGTGATCCTGTATTTGTTTTCTTCTAGCGAAGCAGTGAGGACTGACGTGGAGGTGGTGGCCATTTGAACCTTCTTCCCTGCTAAAGGCACCCGGTGTCTCTTGCTTTCCTACGCTGCACAAGATGCCAAACGCACCCTGGATTTCCCATGGGGGTGGAAAATAAATCTCTGTCTCCTCTGCAAAGTGCCTGGACCTTGGAGAAAAGGGATCTCAAAGCTCCTGGGGACAGAACCTCACAGAAGAAAAGGGGCTGCAGCCTCCCTGCGGCAGTGCCGGCCGGTCCGGTGGTGGGGTACGCGGCAGTGTTGTAATTCAGATAATCACCCCGGGAGTGACCGTGTCATCTTGGGGAGGGAACGCAGCCACCAATGTGGGGACTTTCCTGGCTTGGGTGATGCAGAGAGACAGGCTAGATGACAAAAAATGGTCTCAAAGAGGTTTAAAATCAATGGCAGTAAACAAAACCCCATGGGAAACCGTTACAGAGCTGTGGTTTGTTGTCTGCTGAAGAGACACTGAGTACAGGCGTGAGTCACAGGGGTCAGGGTCCCTCCTCTGCCCCCCGAGTCCTTGCAGGAGCACAATGGGGAGCTGTGGCTCTAACCATGGTGCCAGAGCTTGGGGCAGACATCAGATGGACCAAATGCTCTCCCCAAAAACCCAGCTCTGGGGTTCCAGCAACATACCTGCCAGGTGTGTATTTTTGCAATTTTTAAAAGCTTTTTACATTTTACTTTCCAATTCAGAATTTGCCTGGCATGTCCCGTATCAACAGCCCTGCAAAGAAAACCAACCTGCATTGACAGACCTCCCCACTTTGACCCACAGCTGCTTGTACCAGCCCTGCTCCCTACCTGCACCCCACTCCCTACCTGCACCCCACTCCCTACCTGCACCCCGCTCCGTGTCCTCGTGCCCCC